ACACTAGGGCACTCAACTTCAGAGTTAAGAAATGAAATATTACTACTATTTTCTTTTTTTAATGTTTCATTTATTTCTGGGAGAGAGAGAGAGACAGTGTGAACAGGGGAGGATCAGAGAGAGACGGAAGTTTAGAGTCTGAAACAGGCTCCAGGCTCTGAGCTAACTGTCAGCACAGAGCCTGAGGCGGGGCTCGAACCCACGAACTATAAGATTATGACCTGAGCAAAAATCAGACGTTTAATTGACTGAGCCACCCAGGAGCCCCAAATATTACTATTATTTTCAAAGTTTCTATATATTGCTCAGTAGCATTTTCTTCCCCTGCACAACCTCTAAAACTCAAGTAATCATTAATGGATGATTTTTGTGTTTACTTTCCTGCCTCTGCTTAACTTTATTCCATGTATATGTGTCTTAAAGAAGATACAGGTTTTTTTTGCCAATTTTTAGCTTTTACATATATGCTAATTGTACACTACTTGATTTCTTTGCTCGAATTACGTTTGTGAAATTTATCTATGCTGAGCATACAGAGGTTCATTCATTTTCATTGCTATATAGTACATCATTATAAATAATGTACAATTGATTCATTAAACATAATTTTGAAAGAGATAATATTAATATACAAATTTAAGTATGTCATGCTTCTTAAAACTATAAAATAATTTGATACTATATTTGTGGGGTTGGACATATTATTGAAAATAAAATTTAAAAAATTAGACTAGTAATGATGAATTAATGACCTTTAAAGTTATTTTAAAAATAAATTTTGTATTGAATGCCCAATAAAAAATTCAACATCCAAAAATAATGTTAAGATTCATGAATTATTAGGGTGCCTGGGTGGCTCAGTCGGTTAAGTGTCTCACTCTTCATTTGGCTCAGGTCAGGATCTCACAGTTTTGTGAGTATGATCTCTGTTTTGTGCTCTACGCACTGACCCCAGGAAACCTGGTTGGGATTCTCTCTCTCCTCTCTCTCTGCCCCTCCTCCCTCACACTCAGTCTCTCTCAAAATAAATAACCTTAAAAAAATGATTAATGAATTATGGATTGACTATTTCAGTTCAAAGAATCTCTTTTAATGGAAAATCCTCCAGGTCAACTTTAAATATCTAATTTATAAAGCTGAGATCTGCACAACTTTAAGTTAAAATGTAGTAAATGTAGTTTTAAAAATGATAATATACAGTATTGTCCATGTAGTATGGAAAAATTAATTACTTTGTTTCATTTTACAGTATAATCCAAATTTTATTAATTGTATGATAGAAAGCTGGCATACTAATAATAAATCCTGATAAGAAAATCTAATGCCAAAAGGAGAGTGAAAATGAGAGGGGTTATCTGAGATTGTTTTACTGTTCTTGTGGCCAGTTTTATAGTGAATTCACAGGTAGGCTTTCTAAAATGACACCCTTTTTCAAGAGAGGAAAAAGAAGCCAAGGAATGGAAATTTATGGAAAATACAAAAAATAAATGGGATCTTCTTTTTTTAATGTTTATTTATTTTTGACACAGAGAGAGACAGAGCATGAGTGGGGGAGGGGTAGAGAGAGAGGGTGATGCAGAATCTGAAACAGTCTCCAGGTTCTGAACTGTCAGCACAGAACCTGATGCAGGGCTCAAACCCACAAACCGCAAGATTATGACCTGAGCCAAAGTCAGATGCTTAACTGACTGAGCCACCCAGGCACCCCTAAATGGTATCTTCTTAGCTGAGCATGATAGAAATGAAATTTTAAATTTGTCATTTCTCCCCTAGACACTTAACCTTCTGCAAAATGGAAATAGTACCTTTCAAATTCTAACCAGCTCAAAGGTAAATCGTAAGACTGACCTCTCTGTACTCTCAGTACTTAGATCATGTCATCACATTTCTTGCTAACCAAACTCTTTGTGAGAACAGGAATTCTAGTTAAATGGAAAGCATGATGAACCACAGGTGACCACAGATTCCATATATGGAATGCTAACTGCCTAGAGGATTACTATAGGACCAAAAAATGTGCATAGGCTTATATATACTTAGTGATTCAGAAGGTGTTTCAGAAACTAGCTGCACCTCAACATGAACACCAACAATCTACTTTTTAAAAGGTAGCTGCAGGGTGCCTGAGTGGCTCAGCTAGTTAAGGGATGGACTCTTGACTTCTGCTCAGGTCATGATCTCACTCATGGTCCTGAGAGTAAGCCCTATGTAGGGCTCCCGCTCTGGGCATGGAGCCTGCTTAGGACTCTCTCTCTCTCTCTCTCTCTCTCTCTGCCCCTCCCCTGCTTGCTCTCTTTCTCTCACAAAGAAAAAAAAAGAAGATACCTGATAATGCACTCATTAAATATACACCAAAACTTTGACTTTTTTAGGATTATTATTTTCAAATAGACCAGTTCTCATTTACTTCCTTTATTTGCCTTGGGCTTTTTGTCGCTAATGAAAAAGTTAATAGAAATTATTGTACTCTTATTTTTAAAAGATTAATACATCAAATGTTATCAACAATAAGAACAACAAAGTCTGCTAAAGCAGCACATTATTCTTGTTAATTAATGCTATAAAATCTGGAAAGCTAGAATGTCCATTTGTTAGCATAGGCTGCAGGTAGAATTCATATACTTCAAGGGAAAAAAGTATGCTATGCTAGAAAGGAAAAAAAACTATTTTAATTCCTTTTGAAGAGTTCTTTCAGCAAAATGATAGATTAACTGTGCCCACGTCCATACCATTTAAAATATATAACAGATAACAATTCCCCAAGTGGATGTGATGTGGTGAACAATATTAAACACATATTTGAAAGGAATGCATTATTTATCTTTAATGGGACAGAAGGAGAGCTGAGCAACTGAGCTAATGCAAATTCATTTTCAATTTTTGTTACAGTCAGAGGAGAAACATTTAAGAGACATTCGATACTTTCAATAGTCCAGTGATGGTCTGATATATTTATTTCCTAGTCCCCAATTCCCACCCGATCCCTTTTTTTTTTTTTTTCCTATTTTTCTTTTTCTTTGTGTTCGAGGAAGGCGGTTGCGGTAGTCATTAGTTGTATTTTGTGGCAATTTAGAGAGTACTAAGGACAGAGGGCTGTGAGAGATGGAGAAGGGTGCGAATGGGAAGATTCCTCAGCCTGTGGGCCAGCTCAGTGGAAAGGCTAACCTGTTAAAAGTCTCAGTTTTGTGTTAAAGACTTGCTTTGAAGCGCTCTCCCTTCAAACAAGGAATTGTTTGTGAGAGATCCGTTAAGGTATCTATAAAAGTGTTATGCCTTTAATATTATACTGAAAAGCTTACGGTTCTATGAAGCCAAAGGAAATACAAACAGAAGATGGTCAGCGGGGATCTTAATTTATCCATCGAGAAGAAATCGAAGGTATCTGTACACTGGGGATTTCGGATGAAAGAAATTATTCCAGACACACTTTCCAGTATTCAAGTCTCCCCATTTAGCCTAACCTTCAGGAAATTCTCTTTTAAAACAATCCTAAACGAATACGTCAATGCTATCTCCATTTAGAGTAACACGCACTTGCCTTGCCGCACCCCAACACCCGCACCCCCGTTCTGGTCACCGCAACAGTTCTTGAATTCCACACCCTCCCCTCCGGGGAATACATGGGAAATCTTGGCAACCCAGCTCCTCTGCTGTCTCCTCTCCCCATTCTCCAATCCCTTTCGCAGAAAAATCACACAACACTAAATCCATGCTTTTAAACATCAAAACTGAAAACTCTTTCAAATGTATTACAAAAGAGCACACGTTGAGAGCCGTTCCTATTTGTAACGAGTCATTTCATCAGTTCATTTTGTTAAACAGCTGCCTTGCAGGGCGACGCGCTCATTTGTACAATTCATTGTCCATAAATTAACTTAGATCGTAAATACCAACCTAATATTCATAACTCGCTGATTCAAAGAGAAGACAAAGCTTTGATCCACTCGCCCTGCTTGGGGGCAGAGGAGCAGCAAGAATCCGTGTAGCCACAGCCAACCTGCTCCCCAGCCAGGTAGGTTCTGTCCGAACCGGAACGCAGGCGCGTCCTAGGACTGGGGTTTGCTGGTGGGCGGCTCCTTTCCACCGCACGGCCTGAGCGCAACCCTGATCTAGTCTGAAGCTCCGCACGTAATCGCGCCCACAGAGTTTCGGATCTTTTGCTGTATGTCTTCTGAATTCTCAGAGAACTGTCCCTAACTTCTATCCAGGTGAATCCGGTCCGGGGTCGTAGGTGTCCGGGGCATATAAGGCCCAAGGCGGACTCTGGGTTCGCGCAGTCCTTCCCGGAGTTAGACACAAGACCACCCAAACCCAGGCCTATCCCCCCCACTCCACCCACCCGGACTGTGTGCTCTCTGCCCAACCCGACAGCCCCTCTGCCCCCATCACACCACCGACCCCAAACCCCGCCAGGATCCAGCCTTCCCACGCCCAGGTGCCTCCGGCACGCTTCGCCCCGGACTGAGACTCCCCGGTGAGTTCCCAGAAACACTTAGCGGGGGCAAAGCCTGGAAGCCGGCTTTCAGAGTTCACTCCGCGCCGGGACCCAGGAGCACCCTCCACTCACTAAGGTCCCCATCCCGGGTAAGCCTGGGGCGGGGCAGCCTCCTGAACCCCATCTCACGTCTGTGTGTTGCTCAGGGATTCTGAACTACCTGACCAAGCACAGTTAGCCGCTCTAACCAGACGCGCCTCACGTTGCTCACTCGCCTGGGGAGCCCGGGCGAGAGCGCGAACCGCAGGCGCCCTCGAGCGCCCGGGGGAGCGCACCCCGAAATTCCAACAGTCGACCGAGATGTCCCAAACACAAAACTCCGTCCCGACTCTTCCCTCCAAGACTCGTTTTCTGTCCTCATCCGTCCAGGCCCAAACTTGGCTCGTCCTGTCCCGCGGGCCTGAGCTGAGCCCCCGGGGTCCGCTCTCGGTCCGCCTGGCCCGGGTTCCGCTTTCCCCGCGGGTCAGGGCGGGTCCAGCCCGGCCCCAGCCCGGCCCCCACTCACCGTGAGGGTCAGCAGCAGCCCGCAGAGGGCTCCGCGCAGGGGGATCGGAGGCTCGGCGGCGGCCATCGGGGTGCGGGGCGGGCAGGGGCGCGGGCGCAGGGCGGGAGGCGGAGACCCGAGGGCGCGGAGGTGCAGCGGTGCGGGCGTGCCTCGCTGCCGCTCCTCTTTAAGTCTCCTCGGATCTGTCAGGCTTGCCTGCCCCGGAGCGCGTTCGTTCCTGAGATGGGATTGGACCCAGGAGACGCGGGGCCGCCCCGCCTTGTTATTTCTCAAGTCGTCTCACGCGGGGAGCTGAGGAGCTGCCCGAGCCTGCCCCTCCGCTCCCCGGGGGGGCGCGCCGGGTGCTGCCTCTCGCGGGAAAACGGCCCCAGGCCCACCCTCTGCCGCCTTTCCCACGCCCCTCGTCCGCCCCGGGCGCTGCCGCCCCGCCTTCCCCGCCGCGCGGCCCAAGCAGCCCAGACCGTCCCGGGGCGTCCCCGATGCGCGTTCCCGCTGCAGGACCCAAATCCGCCCGCGGGGATCCCTGTCTCAACACGGGCGCTCCGGGGTGCCAGGAACACCTCCACGGTTGGATCAGCGGATCCTCCCTTCGTTCAGCTCCTGATCGAACGCTGGGCAATGTCTCCAGGGTAATAAACCGTTTATGTATTCTTCACAAATTTGACTAACATGCTAAGATAAACGACGGAGGGAAAATTATCCCAAGAGGCATCAGAAACTCTGATATCTGACCAATTGAAGTACCCAAAATATGGGTGGTTACTTGCAGAGCCTTCTTTACTGCCAACTTCGTGACTTTTATTCGTACCTTCTAAGAAAGAATTTGTTCTCCTATGTAAATTAGGTGGAGAACAAATCCTATGTGATTACGTGGTAATTGTACTAAGGTGACATTTTTCAGTTTGTGGTAAACAGAAAAATTTACCACCCGAAAGCTTCTACTCTAAAATGAAGTTTGCAAATTCAGTAGCACGCAGTAAGCGTAGCCCAGGTCACCCATGTATTGTGTGAGGGACTGGAGGAAAGAGAATGTACATAACCCAGTTGCAGCCCAAAGTCTAGGAGGGAATAAAGGCAAGCATCCTAGCCCACCAGGGTAAATGTTTTAATGGAGAGGCCGCTTACATTGCCTGGCCACATTCCTTTATTTCCCTCCAGATGGACTTTAGTATCCTCAAAGCCCCCACTTGAGGGATTCAGGAGGAACTCCTTCTTAGGTGTGTTGCTGGCCCTCAAAGTCCATGGACAAATTCCAATGTCAGAACCCTCAGATAGTCTGGATTAATCAGGGAAGGTGCTGTGGCCTTCATTCATCCCACTCTGCCCATCCAGTAGGCTTGTTGACTGAAGTCTGGGGCTTCCCTGAAACTCTCAGGCTCTGAGGATTCAGACACTAAATTCACTTCCAGTCCCATCTCTGAGGCATCCAAGGTACCCATCAGAAATCTTGTGTCACCTCTGGAGGCCTCTGAATGAAAGAGGCCTCCAGTCTCAGAGAAAGGTCTCCAAGCTTTTCTCCACCCCAATCATTTTCACATTACCCAAGACCTCAGGGAAAGGCTCTCAAAGGTTCCTCTGGCCCTAGCCAGACTTTAGAAATGCAAGTGAATCATGGCTTTCCTGTAACATAGGTGATGCCATAGATTGAACTGTGTCCCCTCAAAATTCATATGTTGAAGACTAAACCTCCATATGACTGGATTCGGAAATATGGCCTATAAGGAAGGAATTGACATTAATGAGGTTATGATGGTGGGGCCCTGATCTGATGGAATTAGTGTCCTTATGAAAAGAGAAACCAGAGAAAGCTCCCCTCTTCTCTCTCTGTCTTGCTATCTCCCTGTCTCTGTCCCTCTCTGCTCCATGTGTGGACAGAATGAGAAGGTGTCTGTTTACAAACCAAAATGAGAGTCCTCAACAGAAGTCAAATAGGCCAGCAGCTTAATTTTGGACCCTCAACCTCCAGAACCAAGAACAAATGCTTGATATAAGAACCAACAGAGAAAGGGAGAGGGCAGGACCACGTTCCAGACAAAGGCAACAATACTAGTGAAGCACTGAGAGCCTGGTAATACCTTCCTACATCAGGATTACAAGCAGGGACATTCTTCAGAACCACTGGGGTTCAGAAGTCCTATGACTGCGAATTAGATTAGAAAGATAGGCTTATAACAAACCAGGCTGAGGAGCTGAATTTCATCCTGGAAAAGATGGAAGAACCATCTACTCAATCTGTAAAAACGGTTACTAACTACAGTTACAGAATTACTACTTTGGGTGAGTTAATGAAGTCATTAACTTCCTTCATTACCTGCTTATGTCTTCATGGAGCTTTCCCTTAATACTTAGGGAATAAAGGGCTTGAAATGTTTTTCTTTATTCTTAGTAGTCCTACTTTTCGATGATTTCAATTTTTTCTACTAGAGTCTGACCTGTTTATTACTGTCATCCAAATGACTAAAACTGTTAGATAGCTATTATCTGGTTGTTTCAGCTGTACTGGCTAATTGAGATTGTTAAGCCTTCTGACTATGTAATAGTTACTCTGAGCTTCCACTTTTATCTTCTATAAAATAAAAGTTATAGGGGTTGATTCCAGAAATACTGTAAGAAAGCATATTGGGGATATTATCAATTTATATTGCAAATTGTGAATAGTGGACATACTTTAATTACTGTGTTGACATTTCCTGTTTTGCTATAGCATGTACTTGCCCATCATGAGTAGATTGGTCTAAGCTCTAATGAAAATGCATTTTTATAGCTTAGAAGAATCTTCCTAGGAAGTTATAATTATAAATGTGACTTGAGGATAAATTAAAATTACTTTTATTTTTCCTACGTAAATTATAATATAAAATGAGTTTGTTGAAAATCTATTTAAAACATGAACCTCAGTTTGAGCATTGTGAGAACTGGGTCCTTATGTAATGAAGTCAACTTTAAATCATCATGAGGCATCATAAAGCGTAAAGAGTTATTCTGAAATGTCTTTATTTTAATACCCATCTCCCAAGCTGCCAGATCAGTTGGAAGTCACTTCTAAAAGGATAATGTACAAAAATGGGAAAGAAAGATCATTTCCCCTTTTTACTTTCTGAGTAGCAATAATAAAGGTAAGGGCAGCAATAATAAAGGATCAATATGGGAAATGATTTTAGGCTGAAGTACAAAACTTCAGGAAACCAGGTAAATTCTAAAAGGTTTAGTAGAAAGCAAACCTAAGATTATTAAGAGTTCTCTGTACTTAGGAAGAATCTCTGGCCACAGAAAGGGTGGAAGAGAGGTGGAAGGTAATCCCCAGTCCACTGACAAGGCTGCCTTGCACAACTTAATGCCAACAGGCCCTGGTCTCACACGCCTGCTCACCTCTGTGGCCTACATGGGCGGTGACATAGCAGGTGTGGGCCTTCTTGAACACGCCTATAAAATACAGCCAGGGCAACTGTATGATTTTTCGAACAAACTTGCTACTAAGGAAAGAGAAATGTACGAAAAGAAGCTTGAATTAAAATCAAGTGAAAGATTGGTTTGAATAGTCCTTCGTAAGTCATACAATGAGTTCTGCCATGACATAGTAGCTCAGAAGCTCTCTTAGAATACTGTTTAGGATAAACGGTCACAGTAATCAACAGTAATTGAGCAAATTACTTGTTGAGTGAGGAATACCGTACAAATGTGTACTGTATGCTAGGACTGCTTGCAGACTTTATTTTTAGAAATGAGCTCTCCCCAATACACCCACTTGCTCTTTTGGAGAGACTTCTCCCTCATACTTGGGAACCAAGTGGTCATTTTCCTTCGAGAGTAACCACCTTGGCTATTTCTCCTTGGGTTCTAAGAGAGGACACTTTTTCCTGTATCACCTTTCCAAAGTGTGTCTAGAGGCTCTCCACTAATTTCCCTGAACACCACTGAGAACAGTCTTGACTTTTTGGTCATTTAAAAAGACTGCTGGAGACTTGGGGATACTAGACAATTGAAGTCAAGAATAACATATAATATTAAAAAATACTAACCTATGATACTTCATTGCTGCCCAGAGAAAGAGCTATCCCAGAATCCCTGTCTGCCCCCTCTTCTCCTGTCTTCCCGTGGCAAGTACGCCTCTCAGCTCTGTCTCCACCCCTATGGAAATGCTCCAAGCAGCTAAGAGAACCTCAAGTCTAGACCAGAATTACCCTGGCCTACCAGGCAGAGAAGTTTCCGCTTCACCTTTTCTATGCTGGGTCTGACACTAGGATTCATCTCTACCCAGAGTGACTGGCAGAGGGACTATGCATTCCCTTCAGGAGAAAACTCACTCCCATCCACAGAGGTGTGGCTTTTCACTATAACCTCGGCAGCAATCGTACCAAAACTGGACATTTCTCAAATGCAGAATTATCCAATATAAGTAACACCATGATGATCATCCAATCCAGATAGAATGTGCCAGGCTCAGAAAGGCTCCTTTAAGGAGTGCCTGGGTGGCTCAGACAGTTGAGTGTCCCAAGTTTAGGTTGTGACTCAGTTTCAAGGGTTGAAGCCCTGCGTCGAGCTCTGCCATGCTGATAGCGTGAGGTCTGCTTAGGATTCTCTTCCCCACCCTGCCTCTGTCCCTCTGGCCTTCCCCTACTCACACTCTCTCTCAAAATAAATAAACATTAAAAAAATTTAAAGATTGTCTCCTTTCAGTCTCTCCTTATTAATTAATGATTTAAGAACTATTATAATGGTTTCACTAAATCTTGTTCCACTAAAATCTTCGGACATCCTTACAAACATCTTCTGCACACAGGGCTTTTTAATGTGGGAAAGTGGTCTTCCGGTGACTTCTCACTGGACTGGAAGGAATGGTGATTTCCCCCCAGAAAATAAAACTCCACTGTATGGGTGATAACTTCCTCCAGGAACTGGACAAAAGCAATATAACAAAGCCCTGATACAAGGTGAAATTTCAGTCCCTCTCATTGTTCCATAGTTCTTCACTTCAATTCCCTTTAGAGCGGAAATCTCCTCCCACTGGGTGAGGCTGTAGTTTCTCCTGGACGTTCATTCCCATGTCCCTAAGAGCTCATTGTGTGCATCTGTCTGTTCAAAGGACATTGCTCAAGCATGAAGGTTTACAGGTGTGAGGTGGCTGACTTCCACATCTCCTGTGTCATTTATCTCCACGTCATCCTCTGATTTACTGCCCCATCAACCCTCTTTTCTCCCACACGTTTAGAAGGACTGTCCTCCACACCAGCTTGGGGA